TTCGTTCGTGTCCCTATTTACCCTTATTTTCCTCGACTTTTTTAAACGTGTACGATTTTGTTTCAAAGCACGATGACGCGATAAATATATGTTATCCACATCAAATAATGGAGTCGTGTTCGAAAACAAGTCTTTCCAGAGACGTTGCTTACATTTTTCATTCATGCCCCTATTTACCCTTATGTTCCTCGACTTTTTTAAACGTGTACGATTTTGCTTCAAAACACGATAAGGGGATAAATATATGTTATCCACATCAAATAATGATGCCGTGTTCGAAAACAAGTCTTTCCAGATACGTTGCTTACATTTTTCGTTCTTGCCCCTATTTACCCTTATGTTCCTCGACTTTTTTAAACGTGTACGATTTTGCTTCAAAACACGATAAGGGGATAAATATATGTTATCCACATCAAATAATGGTTCCGTGTTCGAAAAAAAGTCTTTCCGGAGACGTTTCTTACATTTTTTGTTCTTGCCCCTATTTACCCTTATGTTCCTCGACTTTTTTAAACGTGTACGATTTTGCTTCAAAACACGATAAGGGGATAAATATATGTTATACACATCAAATAATGGTGCCGTGTTCGAAAACAAGTCTTTCCGGAGACGTTGTGTAATATCCCGACATTTTATTAGTATAAATTATGTTTTAGTTCCGATATAATAATGTGATTAATTATTATTGTCGGAATTAATCATTTTCAGTCGAGACTACCGAAATTTATTTTCGACGTACCGTTTACGTTCGGAATAATTTTGGTAATTAAGCATTATGTTTAATTAAATAATTAAACATAAATGAAGTGAATAATTATTGATTAATCACAAGTTAATGTCTTAATGCCGTGACCTTTATTCCATAAAGCCGTACCATCTTTCTCACTAAAATTCCAAATTTCTGTACGGGTTTTACTTTGCAAATCATGTGATGGTTCTTCATGCTAAGGTAAGTACATTTGCCATTGTGGGAGGTTTAAGAGAAGGATGAGTCGTCCCTAGAATTCTTAATTAGCTCACAAGTGTTTGTTTAAGAAAGGGCCACGAGTGCCCATCGTCATCACCCCAAATGGGGCTCCCTCTCGGCCGTGTATAAAAAGAGGAACTTGGACAAAAATTTCCTCACTTTCCTATAGAACATAACCAGCATATTTCCTCTCATATTCAGCCATCATAAGCAGCAATTAATTGAAGCAAGTTCCCTAAATTTTCCATTAAAATCGCACGGCAAGTGACGGGTATACGCACTGCACGTACGCGCGCGCGGCTCACCGGAGGCTTCATCCAGCTTGTAATTCCTTTGCGCATTTGAGAAGGTAGAGTGTTATTGACCCCTTTTTCATGTTAATAGGTCTATTTAAGGTTGAATGGTTCGGTCCATATGCAAGAATTTCGTAGTTATGTCATAAGAGGCTCGGTTTAGGCCATTTAGGCCAAGACCGAATTACGTTCATTTTCAGTCCGACAAGTCCCGAGCGTTTATCGTTTATTTAGCCTTTATTAAGTGTATCATGTTCAGTCAAGTGGGCTTTGTCGAGTAAAGTAGAGATTCAGTCGAGAAATTGGCTTAAAGCCAAAGACCGCACGTGGAGTGCGTGTCAACGGCCGTGCCATGTTATCTTTACCTATGATCGAGTTTGTTCGAGCAGTTCAGGTCTAAATGAACCAGTTAAGTCATGTTATGTTCAGTTATGTTAAGTTGTTCGGGAATTTTTCATGTTTATTGAGGAACTGGTCATAGGCCGTAAGCCTCGCACGTAGCGAGTGCATTACGGCCATGCATGTAGTCAAATTGAACAAGTTCAGCAATTTCCATGTAAATTCAGCATATTGTTCATGTTAAGTCATGTGAGGTTATTTTAAGTTTAAGTTGTCGGAAAGAAACGCCGGACGGCCAGCAAGGGCCGGCCGTGGTCGCGCTGCCGCACGTAGCGGCAGCAGCGCATCGGCCAGCAGTCAGCGCGACAGACAGCGCGCGCAAGC